TTTCTTGGTAAAAGCCTTGGGGGTCTTACTATCGGCTCTTAAATGCAATGCAACTGTCGTCGAGATATATATTGTTTACCTGAATTTCAATTTATATCCCATTTAGTCAAAAGAAGGGGTTTGAATCAAAAATTTCTATTTTTAAAATATCCGAGTTACTTTGTAGCAAAATGGTGGGATTCATAATAATCTTAGTACAATCGAGTAATTAATTAATTTAAAATATTTTTATCACCATAAGCCATGTTCTGTCTCATTAAAAGGCTTGTTGATTTCGTATGATTTTCTTTTCATGTAAACGTTAACTCTCAAATGTTATGCAAAAGTAGTTGTCAAAGTGAGATAGCTCTAGCTCGCTGTTGTACATTATACAAATTTCTTTACAACTGTAACTCTACAACTCGCTTCGCTCACTTTTATGAGAGACCTCGTGATAAGACCTCACATCTATAGTCACTTTAAAAGTAACGGTGTTCCAAAGAATATATTGAGGATAAGATAATATAGGGCCAGCGTGGAGGGTCATGGCCCATCCTCCTTAACCATCCATAAGGAAGGCCTGAGCCCCTGCAGTGGGGACGTAAAAGGGCTGGTGATGTGATGAGACCATACACGGATACAAAGATGGCAACGATAATATTTAAAGACGACCACTAGGATATCAAAAATGAAACCTATTTTGAATACATCATTGTTCTTTTCCATAAAACTACATAATTTCTTATTCTAGTCATATTTGTTAATAAATAAGAATTCGATGATTAAAATAAAAACAAATTAACTGTTACAGGTAGCATAGGCTGGATTAGATCCATTTCTAACTGGGCGACTACTCTTCCAACAGTTCCATCTGAGGTACCGGGAACTTTAGCCATCTTTTTATAAAAGGAGAACTAAAGTTAATATGTGGTAAGTACTTTCTTTAGCCCATGGGCCACGTAAAATAATTAACAATGACAGAATAAACAACGTCAAATTGAGACACGTTGACTTAATTTGGTCGGATAATTCTTTAAACCTGGAACCCAATTTAATATTTGATACATCTTCACGAACTTCAAGATACAATTATTAACTAGCGATTGCTAACGAGACGGTTCTATAAAATAAAAAGAAAAAACGATATTCTTTTAATCTACCGTAAATTGGAATTCTTTAAGGCAAGCGTTAGACGCAAATATTTTTTAAAGCTTTTAAGAAACATCAAAACGAAAGAGTTGTATACTAACTATAATCTTTCGATCGAAGAGATTGTGATAGATTTTTAAATTAGACAATAAGATAACTGATACTCTATTTATTCCTTGTTTTATAATAAGACGGAATGAGATTCTCAAGTATTTACTACTTTTTCTTCTTCAATGCACTAATTATTAAGATCAAAATTCGTGCACAAAAACCGCACGTTTTTATATGCATAAGTACCTAAGACAGTCATATTTGTCAAAAAAACATGTGGAAATAATACCGATAATAGTTTCTCGTCTACTTATTACACAGAATAATTCACTATAAGTGAAGCTCTAAAGAATATCTCAGTATGCGAGACACACCCGCTTTCAACTCAACACATTCCACATGAAAAGGCATTCAATTCAACTAGTCTTACGTGAAATAACTTGGTAGGTCGAGATTTTACATATGACCTGCTTGCGAGGTGAAAAGGAACTAGCAAAAGCTTTATCTGGTACAAGGTTGATGGATTGGTTTGGAGGTAATTTTTAATAGTACGCAGTTGCTAAAACGGGTGATGGTAATGGATCATGAGGGTGGCAAAAATTCGCTAGTATTAAATTGATTGTTATAAAGGAAATGAAGTCCAAATATGTATTTGTAATAAAAAAAATTAGAAACTTCTTATCTGTAAGGGCACTAGTCGGTGAAAAATTAAATATTTGAAGTTTCTCCATAAAAAAAAGCCCACAAAACTAATTATTTATTCGATATATTTTCGGAATGGTCTGAATAGCTGAGTAAAGGAAATGATTGTTGCAATAAATTGTAATGGTTTGTGATTGTCATATAATTGTTGATCGATGGAGGAGCTAGAAGGCTTGGTTTGCGCTTTCGGTCTACGATGCGAAAGTTAAGCAACTTTCACAAGGGCCGGTTGTATGAGGGGTGACCAATAATATTTATGTCGAGTTGCAGAAGACACGTCAAGCACTCAGTTTTAACTGCATTTGAAGAAATTCATTAAATCGGGCCCGCGTGGCGCGGCATGACTCCTTCTTTCCATTTCCATGTCGTCATGACTTCCAGAGAATACTTAGGGTTTCATGGACAACCAAAGTGCAAAATGAGCGAGTACTGCGTCAAATGAGTAAATCTTTACTTCAAAAGTTTTGAAAGAACAACTATATGTGCAGCTAAGGGCAGCTACATCGATGGTGGAAATTGCCAAACTGTACTAGTGAATGGGACCCACAGAAGAAGATACATACAGAAGGCCTGTGCCCAGGAGTGAGGTTAATGGGTTGCTGATGATGATGATTACTGTTTAGATGGGGTCACAAATATTTCATAGGTGAACCGCAGCGGGTTTTATTAGGTAAGACAACCAATCTAACCTGCTCATTTCAGGGTGGCGTGGTTGAAAAGCCCTAGTTTGAGATGATTTTGAATATTTTTAACCGCTAAGGTGCATTTTCTCTGCAGTAAAAAAGATACTATTATCACAATTTTATAATTATTGGAATATATCGTAAGATATCACTGATTCTATTAAATACTAAAATATGAAAGACTTCACATTGAATGACGTATTTCATTCATATTTTATTCTATTGAAGCACTCAGCGTGGATTTGTTCCCTTTGAAAAATTTGAAAACAATTTGTACTGACGCAGGTTTTGCAAATGGAATCTATTACAAGGAGCCGGAAGTTATGGAATACGGCACGAAGAATCCTTTAATCTCTTTGTCTTCTCTTTCCGATGTTGCTTATTTAAGAAGGAGTGAAAGAGACAGATGTCTCAATAACGTGCGTGCGTAGGACATAAAAAGGGGGTTTTATTTATCCCCAGAGCTCCGAGACCCGGGCCGGTGTGATTAATAAATTATGGGAGGTGATTAAAGGCTCGCCCGAAATTATATTATTACAAAAATAAATTTTCATTCCCTTGGAATTACTCAGGTAAACAATGATTGTCCTGACATTTGTCTGCTTTTATCTCAACATTCGTACGACGGACGGATTGATTTTTGCTGTTTTAAGATTGAGATAAATAGCACCGTTTAAAAATAAGTTTCAAGATCACGAATAAAAAAAAAAAACCGCTCACTGTTCCAATAATTAAAGGACAATGTGTAACAGTTTACTAAATAAACTGTCTCTCTTTCGGATGTTTAGCCGATGTACTTAATTCCTTTTTACATTTTGATACATATAAACGTCAATTTAAATATTTAAAGAAATATAATTATTAATAATATTGTAATTGTATGTGCACTGGTAACGATTATTGTATGGAGGTACGCAGACATAGGAACGCAGCGCGACTTCTGATAGTGAATAGTATATAAACGACCTCTCGCGTGGTAATAGTTGATTTTCAAGTGTTTTTCAAATATTTTCAAGTATGTTCTAAATACTTGAAAATATTTACCCCAAAATTGGGTGACTGTTCTAATTTCTTTAGTTTTTGCTGCTCGTCTACAAGTTTACCTTGAAGTAATATATTTTTAAAATCACAAGTCCAATAAGTAACTTTGAATTCTCAAACTATTTCGATGTTTTATAATATTTAACGTTTTCATCTGAGAATTAATGTTCAATGAATAATTGTACGTTTGAATAAATAAAATAACGTTTTTAACGTTCGTTGCGATCCTGTGTAATTACGAGTATTGCTACAGTTTTGGATTCCGAGTTTGCTTATGAATTAGTTGGTAGTGAAAATGAGCACTTGTGTTTCGTGTAATCATTCAGTTAACATTTTTTTTTAAACTATGCGAGATTATATTTAAGGAGGCGAACAACCGCCGCAATTAGTGGGTATATACTCTAAAACATAATTTATTATTAATCGAACTTACCTGTAAGTGAAGTCATATCATAATATCCGAGTTGTTTCATTTGAAGAGATTAGTATTATATACTTGTAGTCCCACGTACAGAGGCGCTTTCTATGCACTGAGTTGAATGATAATAAAAAATAAAAACCGAAGAGGGTATTCCGATATTTTTCCTACTGCACTACCTTCCTTACTTCATTTAGTTCAGTGTAAACTGGACCACATATTTCACAAGGAATTGGTATACAACTGACTAATAATGAGAGGAAGCCAAAAGACGTCCTGAACAAGTGTTACGGAAAAAAATTTTGGACGATTCAAAAGTACTTTTAAGAAGTCTATTTGAATAATGATTATTTTGACTTTGACTTTGGAGAATGGGATTCTAATTTTTTCGAACGAAACACCTCACATAATTTTTTTTAATTTTATTTTTCTTGGAAAACCAACAGCTAGTTCAATAAAATAGATTATAGCATAACAAACAATAAGCCAATTTTTTTTTAATTTTTTTTTTATTTATTTAGCAATCCAAACAATTACATACAATATTATTGTTGAAATGACACTATAAAAAATTTATTTCCGCATATAGATATAATTTAGATCTAATTAGTTACTTGGCACACAAACTACACCATCAAATAAATAATCGTACCTGTACCTAATTAACGAGACAGTAAGTATTCTATTAGTTTCCACTTAAACGAATAAATGTTGCAATCAAAGATGTCATACCCACACTCAGGCATCATATTTAAGCTTACGCAGGCTCTATCAATAAAGCTATTCTGCCTGTAATTTGTAGGTGACGAGGGGTCCTATTATAGGGGTCCGCTATTGGTCGGTAATCTGCGACTTTCTCGGGACTGAAAATTATGATTGAACTGCAGTTACAGGTAATTTCGATTAATCATTCATAGGGCATGACTGTGCGACAACAATAGATACATTCATAGACTTGTGATCATGATATTTCTTACCGTATAGCATAAGCGAAGGCCAGGACAGCGTCGGACACGAACTGCAGCTGCCTCTCGAACTCCGTGTTGTCTACTGTGAGTCGCTCGTGGCCGGAGCAGGCGCGCTCGAAATGACCGTTGTATGGAGTGCGAGGGCTGCCGGGATAACGGCACTGGAACTGTGCCTCCCATAACTCTGTGAACAAGTTCATATTGTTGAGTCAAGAGGATAATTAAACAGTACATTACCTGCGGTTAAGCTCCAGTTACTAAATTACTAAAAGCAAAACTAATAATAATAATACAAGAGATCGAAAAAAATTATGCTGAGTTTATCTATAGGTAAAGAAATTGTATATCTATATGCATATGTGCCATCCCTGTATGAAACAAAACAGGGAGAAAAAAGCAACCCTTGCTGAGTTTCTTGCTGGTTCTTCTTGGTACGAGGTTTTTCGCCGTAGATTTAAGAACCGATGGCGTAGAATTTCGACTTTCACGAGTGCTTGTAACAGACTGAAACGATACACGACACACACACACGCACGCACACAGTTGGTTAATATATTATTTAAGATAAAATTAAATATTAATGTAAAGTCAAAAACTAAATATGATAAATTATAATTTGTTCTGTCAACTGAAATAAATATTACAAATGATAATGATAATAAAATAGTATAATATGGAACATAACATTATTTGCTACCTGGATGTGGGCGCTAATAGTTGCATTTCAGTTTTTTTTAAACTACCGCGACTATTATCGTATACTATACTTTTGTAAAACTATTTGCTCCAATAAATTCATTTTTTTAATTGTTCTTAATTCACCGTTGCTTAATAATATTGTATGAGATTTAATTATTCCTTGGTTTTCCATAAAATCAAGCGTAACGAACGAATACAAGCGTTTTCGCATTTCCCCCGTAAATTATAGCCTATGTAAGTATAGTGTATGTATATGTGAGAGAATTTAAATTAGTTTAGTAGTTTCAGAGTTTTCAATGCAAATAAACAAAATATAATAATTTATTTTTCCTATTTCTAATATCAATATATGAACAACGATATAAACATTACTTGTATAGTTTAAGGCTTTCTAAAAATCACTTCACCATTCAAGTTATGCCACAGTATAACAAAATTCCCAAGATCATATAACCATACATAACAGAGAGTATAAAGAGGGAGAAATGATGATGTTAAAAGTAAGAATTTTGTATCTACGCCAGCCTATACAAAAGACTTGAAAAATTATTGCCATTCCAAGTTCGCGACATTTATGCTCAATGGTTCTAGATGTGAATGTTGCGAGAAACCTTCATGGGATCCCCTTAAGATAAGGATTACGGGTATTCTTATAATTTATCACTTCTCGCCTTTTTGGTTCTTTAACTTAGCAAACATAAAGCTCCACTGGCTTAACGATTTCTTTGGCGACATTATTTTGTTGTTTGGAAAGTGGCTGTTGTTCTTTCGTTATACTTTTTAAGTTTATTATCAGACTGATATTTTATATTTTTATTAGGGTTCGCAAAAGTCCGATATTTATAATAAACATCAATATATCCGATATATCAAGCATATGAATAACTACTATTTTTTATATACTATAAATCAATTAAAAAGTAGTATGCCTACGACGACATCCTGTAACGTATAGGGGAAATTTTGAAATTACTAGTAAGTAAGATTGCTACTTCAGGCCAATGTTTTATAGCTGATATTCAATACTCAAACTAATAATAAATGTTATAAATATAATTTCTTGTCTAGAATTTTATATAATTAATGGAGTTATAAATAAAAATAAAATATGAACTATTGTACTTTTAGATTTTAACTATTATATGCCAATATTTAAAATTTATTTTAGGTAGTAACGATTTTTTCTTAGTTAGAAACGAAATGTAACGTAGAGTTGTTTCGGATTTCTATATTACAAGTACAAAAAGCTTCTTAATTTGAAATCCAAGTTAAACGATGTTGTATAATGGTTAATTACATATTCTTATATAATTTGATCACTATTGTTCGAGTTTAAAAAAAATCGAAAATTATGTTTTTTACATAAAATCAAACGCGACGGCACAAATCATGGAATTGCTTCGCATTTAATAAATATATAATTTTATGTTGAGCAATTTTTGGTTTCCAGAAAAAACATTCAATATACCATTTCTAACCTACTACATGTCCAATGTCGAATATCCGCCTTATTTGAAACCAATGAAATCATTACAAAGCTAATTCTATTATGAAATTTTAATGTAGTGGTTAATTATACTTTTAATCATCATTTATATCATTTAATAATGTTGTTCTTTTTGAATTAACAGGTTATCTATTTAGTGGCTTCTATTCAATATTTATCATGACGTTTGCGTTTTCGGGAATAGTTCTATTTGCAAGTTCCATTAATTCGATGAAGGCGAGTACTGCATTTGGATTAGACAAATATACTCGTATAATTTGTATATGTGTTAAAGCAGATATTATTATATAGATGAATATAGAAATTTATCGGAAAAGTTCGAGATAGGGTGTTTTGTGAACGAAAAAAATTAAGGGTGAAGAAATTAAAGAACGTCTCATCTAAAGTGACTTGATAAAGATTAATTGGTTCCATTAAACTTCTGAACAGGTTCTCGAAACTTTTTAAGGAGTTTCCAGGTGGGAAAATGCAATTTGATCGGTCGTTTAAAACTTACCGATAAACCAGGGGTTTCTTCGATTATTTTTCACATTTAGTCCTAGAAAATATTCCGTGAAGCCTCTCACGTCGTTTGCTTGGGGCTGTACGCTAATAGTGCCTTCTACTGCCCTCTCGTTCCCATCGGATACTAGGGTCCGTGCGCTCCAACCGTCGGATCCAACCCAGCTGAACAGGCTGGTGGCGTTACCTCGTTCTACTGCTCTCATCACACCAGCAACTTCTTGATCAGAGCCGAAAATAATTGCACCTGTAAATTCAATTTTAAGATGTATATCTGTAATTGTCATATTAATCCATCTTAAATATATTTGTAATAATAGGGATGACGACTGGGTAAAAATTGCAATTCTATTTAGTCCGCCAGTCAGATTATAGAAAAATATTAGATACGTATTTTTTTTTTTACTTCAATTTAACGAGAAATAGCTTAGATAACAGGTATTAAAGTTAGGAGTGGGGGCTCGCTACGTCAAAGTTTAGTAGAAAACGTACCATAACGTGACCTCATGCGAAATTTCAACTCCATGTATCGCCGTAATTTTATGATTACGAAAAAAATAAAAAATACGTGTTTAATATTTTTCAACACTCTACTTGACGGACAAACAAATAAAAATTTGTCATCATCCTTATTACAAAATTTGAATTCGAATTAATTTAATACACATTTATTTGCTTTAGGTATACCCCGCAGTCTAGCGAGCGACAAGCTTATGGATCCACATATCTATATAGGGGGTGTTCGCTTGAACGACCCAAAGAGGTCTACCCATGAGGAGGAATAAGAACCAGAAAGTCGTAGTCATGTCACCGGGAACCTATCGTTAAGTATCTTTGTAAGAAATAGGTATACTGCTATGACCATCATCGTCGTAAACAAATGTTTCTTTTTCAGGTTATGATTTTAATATGCTATGCTTTGAGTTTTCCTCCTTTATATAGAGCGTGGGAGAATTACTGTAGGTGCCGTATGGTCGGCAGCCAATGTGTTAATAGACAGACTTTATTAATAAATTTATGGACCAATAAAATTTATGGTGAATTGTTATAATGCACTCAAAATATTTAAAGGAATATAAAGTTAAACTAAAAAGAGGATAGATATATAATGAATATATACAGACAAGTCAAAACAAAAATATATGCATAAAAGAAGATCCGAAAAGCCTCTTATAGAAGTATGGGTTAATATGCGACGCATTTTCCGTCAGACATGCATCGATCTTAATATTTATTTCAACCGAATAGATCGCTTTTAAATTTATTGCTAACTGTTCCAGGCGTTTATCCAATTGTGAATGATATAGTAGTCGCTTAGAGTTAGAATAGTCTTATACCTAATCTGTTCCCGAAGCAAATGTCCCTTTTATACTACTCTTAATTATTATTTTTATTACTACAAGAAAAAAATCAACATCCGTTTTTTATTAATCAAATTAATATTTCGTATTTTTTTTTTCGTTTTTGCATAATATAATAATCTCTTTGAAATATTATGATGACGTCTATAAAATTTTGTCGATTGTCTTATAATTTTCAACATTAAATTATAATTACAATAAAAATTCTTAAAATAAACGATACAACCAATAAAGCGCTAATAACGCAATCCACATCAATACGTTTACCGAGGTCCCCAATTTGTGTCTGAGAGTATCTTATTCGGCAATCTTACTGAATTCAACTCCATCAATTAATTACCAGTAACCCTGGAAGCGAGAGGGCTCTGATAAGCAGCCGTACCGTGTTGAAACAGAATACTGATAACACTTGCGAACCAATTTGTGTAACCAGCACAGCGAAAAATTGTCTCGGAGCGCCGCAGCTGGCTATCGGAAAGTTATTTATCCGACACATATTGCCAATGCGGTGTGGCGCCGATAGACTGAAGGTTAAGGGGTTACACCCTAATATTCTTTTATGGCGGATTTAACGGTGTGTTAGTGAAATGGAGAGTTGAAAGATTTTAGACGGAAAACTCGTAGAAACCACATTTGGAGATACTTGTGTACGCATGGCGTAGAGCCCGCATTACGGAAAATTTATGTACGCATGACCTAGAGCCCGCATTTAGGAAGACTTATGTATGCATGACGTAGAACCCGCATTTAGAGAGACTCATGTACGCATGACGTAGAGCCCGCATTTGGAGATACTTGTGTACGCATGACACGAACGTCATACGTTCTCTAGCAAGAGTTTGGAGACTGATATACGCAAGACGTAGACCCCGCATTTAGGGAGACTCATGTACGCATGACGTAGAGCCTGCATTTAGGGAGACTTATATAAGCATGACGTAAAGCCTGCATTTTAGTAGATTTATGTACATATGCCGTAGAGCCCGCATTTGGTAAGGTATTTTCACTTGAGGATTTTTATAGCGCATACGGAGAACACAAACAGATATATTATGATGACGTCTTTAAAAATAATTACTTAAACGAATAAATCGTATCAGCTCCCATTTATAATGTGAAAATCATATAATATAATTAGAAAAAAGAAAGAAATTAGAAATTTTATAAACAACACATTAACATTATACAATGCATATGAACATAATTTGTATCGGCTATAAGCGGTTGCAACTTGGGCTTTTAATGCAAATTAATTTTAAACTATACATTTCCAATTACCATATAGAATGTGCGTAAAATAACGATACACTAAATTCGACAACCTAATGTCATTACGCTGAAAGAAACCCTATATTATGAATATGAAATTCAAATAAATATTTGATTGTGTTTTCTCTCAGCGCGTTTTTGCGACTGAAGGGATTTCATATTTTACCGCATTAAATGGTAACTCGGTGAATTGATTTCAAATTGCTAATACATAATAGTGTGAATTAATACAATTTTCATTGCAAATAATGAATGAGATACTTTATTTTTCAACACCAGTTTCAACAATAGTAAAAAATATGAAAGTTTTCGCTTTATGATATGCAGTGGTCGGAATGACAGATTTCATACAGCGAAAGAATAAAGTGGATATGCCTCAAATCCCGAGATTATTTTTAAAGAGCAGAAAAAATCCCGTGATGTTTAAATAAAAAGTTATTTACTTTTACACAATTTAAACTACTGCACGTACGACGTTGCCAAACTTACATCAATGACATCGGATGTCCAAAGATGTCCAAGATTGTCCATTAGAAATCCCGGGAAGGTCCACATTAATATCAATATTTCGATGCAAGTACATAAATAACTCTACCTAATAACGACCTCTGATGATATGTTTATCGTGTTATTATTAATTAGTGGTAAGTTATTGTGCATATATTTTTTGCTCCAATTTGTCTAAAATAATGCAATATTATTATTGTTAATAACGTAACCACAGTAAACTTTTTTATTCATTTTATAACGCTGCATTATTACATACTTCTAATACCCGTTATTTCTTTTTATTGTAAATTTAAATGTAAAATTAAAATTAATGAATTATTTTGTTTTAAAGTCATACATAACTATAGAAGTATACATATTAAATAAAAAATAATATATTAGCAATTCAATCATCTCAGGTGCAAAAAACGAAATGTATCTGAGGGCTGTAATAACAAAATAAATTGATTTTTTTAAGTATTTTTGTTTGACATATGAATAAAAAAAAAAACAAAATTATAATAAAATAAAAAAACAGTTTGTCGTATAGTATTTAAATTACAACAGTCTTGGATTCTGAGTTAACACTAAAATGTACGAGTATTTTGTACCGTAATTATTTAAAATAATATATACCTACAAACGTTGGCATAAACGAATCGAAATCCCCAATTTACCTGTTCTAAATGAGATTTTTTTTGGCTCAGCTCGTATGTGGAAACGCTGATATTCCGGTGCTTTTATTTTATGTGATGTGCCGCAGCCATTACGTGCGCCTTTGTACGAACAAGCGCTTTGTGACTATGATTGTTGGCGCTCCGTTTACATCTGATCAGGGTTACATGGATTTATGGTTTTAAAGGGTTATTAGTTATGAATTAGAGAACCAAAAGCCACTTAATATGTTATCAAATACCAAGTTTTCTTATGTATCAAAATGAGAGGTAGATAAATATTGGATGATTCGAAATATTTTCAAAACTTCTACTAATACGTTTGAATAAAAACTTTTTATTTTAAATTAAGTAGCGTAAATTGTTCAGACCTCAAATACAGCACTTGTACAATTACAATATGAATCATTGCTATAACACAACATTCAAACCAGAAACGAATATTGAAAAGTTAATTTTCCACTTTGGGCCGATCGGTAATCGAATCAGGCACCTCGCCATGCCTTCGCGACCCGATGGCATAGTTTTTTGACTCTCACAAATACTAGTTCGAATAAAAGAAACCGTTTTTAGATAGCAATTTAAAACTAATTTGAACAAAATTTTAATAAACATTATAATGATAAGTATTACTGTTTATATGTAAGGTGTTCAATCACATTATTATAATAACACGTAGGTATTTAATTAAATTAAATTCAAAATTCCCAGAACTTCGTAAATGTAGTTATAACGACAGAGATGCGAGCTATAATCCAACTAAGAAAATTAATGGGCTGTTAAAATCCATATTTAACGATCTAAAGGTCATAACTCACGAATAGGAATAATGCGCAACTCAAAACATTGTTAAGATTATCTTGAATTTAATGTTTATAGTTTCGACGAATTTATTGATGCCATTTGAGGGTTTACATAGGAAAGAATTAGACAAAACTTTATTATTTTCTGTAGCGTTATTCTGTAGGAAATTATTATTATTCTGTAATCACAACCTTATAACAGCATAGTGGTAAATAAGGTTTTCTTTCATTTCTCTATTCTGAGACAGCGTTGTGCTCGAAGTTGAGTTCGAGACTCATTTTATTACAGAAAAGCAAAGCTGACACAAAAAAATAAAGGAAAATAAAACAGTTGCTTCGTATAAAAATTATAGATTTTTCGAAAATTGAAATTGCTCCTATTATTAATGTTAACGTTCATTTATTCAGTTTTGGGTGTACTAAATTATTAATATTTGTAATGATAGTTCCAAAGAGGTTAAATTGTTTAAAGATAGATTACATAACTCTTTACTCAAAGGATAAACGATAATCTAACAAAATTGTAGAAGTTATGAAATTCTACTTCTACTTTTAAAATATAGTGTTAGAAACTAAAATATAGTGTTAGAAATGTACATTAATATAATTATATCTAGATTATTATTTCACAAAATAAACGTAATTCAAATAATAGCAACATATGAGACCGAATTATAAACGATAGATTCCATTTTACAAAACAAACTTGGCGAATAAATGTAAGGATCAACGGCTTGATTGGATTGCAGTAATATTTCTCCGGGGATTCTCTTGTGGCACATGCTCAGATAACTCGTGCTACCAATAGAGAGATAACAAACAGCTCTGAGCTCGAATGGGTTTTGTTACCAGGATTGTATAAGGTTTCATAGAAGGAATTAAGGAAGGGCGCGATACGAGTAATGGGTGATCGAATAAAGATCGACAATAGAAGAGTTTTCTCCGTATTTTTTCGTTTTATTTAGAAGAAGTCACTAGACAGAGGCATAACTAAAATATATTATTCGGGGTAACATTATATTGCTTTTGTGTTGAAGGTTTTATTATGTAGGATTCAAACACGACAAAGTTGGTTTATTACACAAGAGCTATTTTACCTATTGTTAGTTACTATAAGTTAATTATTTTATGTGGATTCAATATAAATTATGTATTTTTTGATATAAAATCATCAAAAATATTTAATGTTATAAAAAAAAATAAGATTCTTCAATGATTCAGTAAAGTTACCATAAAAATACTCTCTGATGTCACTTCAGTTACTGACATTTTAGTAAATGTTTGTGATAAAGCAGAGTGATTCTTTGTAAAAAATACGAACCCGAATTCGAATTCACTCATGTGTCCGACTTTCACGTCATTTGGTGTAGAAATTTTATTGATACCATTTTTGTATAAAAATACAAAAATCAAATATATTATTTTTATCAAATATATTTGTTATCGTATTATATCCATTTGGTAGTAGAAATGTGATACTTGTTATACTATATTTCATAATATTTAATTGATTGCGTCCCCTTACAACATAAACTTATAATTTGTCCATGAGCTCTGGTACTAACGAGGAATTAGTTTTCGATGGGAATACGACTAACTGGTTTTAGGCAGTTTTAGGAGTTGAAAATCAGTGTTTTGCTCTCTCGGAGCAAATATATCGCTGAACTTTTGCCTTTTTGCATCGCTGTAACTCGCACGCAAGAACAAGATTATAGATTTAAGTTCTTAGATTAAGATTTAAATGTTTCTTTTATTTAATATTGTATCAAGGCATGTAAAGTGATGCAAATAAATACTATATCTATCTATCAATCTAAAACAAATCTCAATTTAGGGTATTAAGTGACGGACCCTATTTATGTTATCAGAAGGTTAAATAAGAAAACACGTTCACTCTGTAACTCCGTATATTAGCGACTAGTTAAAAAGTCTTTGTTCTACAGACGCTAACAAATTGTTTATAAACATCTTACAAACTAAACTGTACATGTACATGTAGGCATATGTGTCCCTACACTCAGATATTCTATTCCTATGTTATTTCGAAAACTCACTTCACTTATGTCACGAAACATTATTACCGATTCAATGTAAACGAATGCCACTTCTTAAATGAATTTGGACACCTGAGTGTTGTAGACATGTGTGATATGACTCACCTCTTGCACGTGGCTTGGTCAGAAGTTTCTGAACGATTTCATCATATGCCCTTTCATCTGCCACTCCCGAGTCTTTCACCAGCTTCTCCTTGACAGCTATGCAGATGCCATTGCGTGCCAAAAGTGCTTCTAATTCTTCAAATGCCTGTTGATGATTAATTTTTATTATATGATTGGAGAATGTCGAATTATCAAACTTTTAGACATAGAATGCCATTACCACTCGCATAACAACTGAAATATTTTTCATAAAGGTTTCTCCTAATAATAAAATGTCCGGTAATATTATTTTTCGTACCGTTTCTTTTTTCAAATTAAAATATTATATAACTTTTGTAACGCGCCAATGTATCTCGTAAGAGTGATTTTTAAAATCGATATAGTATTTTTTTTAATTTATCCTTCACTACAAATAATTCAAAAATTAAATAAATTTATCCTCTTTTAAATTTTTAGGTAGTTATAAATGTTTGAATCAATGTTTGAGAAGTATAAAAATGATGATATACAGTGGTATTGTTTGTTATTCGCTGCAAACAGTGATAAAAGTTTAACATTTAATTAAATTCAGCTACCCCGATATGATTGTAGGCATTTCCTACAATCAAAAAGAAATCGGACAGTAATGGTCCAACGATTTGATAGAGTGATACACTTAACGTCATTGTAGATCAGCACATTACAATTTCCTAATTGAAATTAGCGGTGGCCAGTGCAAATGTAATATAGCAATGCAGTGCCATAACACTTGATCTATTTTGAAATTTGGTAACGTTACAATTTATACTGTTAGCCCTACCGTTTAGGAACTATATTGCAGTATTCTAATTTCGGTTCCTTTATAAATATTCATGGAACCAGTTGGTTTGATATTTCAGTTGTTTTGTTAGACTCATTTATATGCATTACTGCTTACTTATTATTAAAGGTTGGTAAGTTTGTTTTTCTTCTTAATGTTTTATAATGTTTCAACTTTGTGAATCGTTCAGAGCATCACTGGTAGCTTGTATGGAATATTGGTATTTATTTATAAGTATTATAGTAATTTTATCCACTAATGTATTGACAGACACATCAGAAACAGATACCCATTCTCGAAGAAACATGTCATGATATTCACGATGTCTTATTCATATTGAGTCAATAGCTGACAGGCACATTGACAATGTTTGTCGATAAACAAAACAATGCACAGCTTGTACGAAAACGTCACGTCAATTTAGTTTTTGACATCAGTAAATGGCGCTTCGTACCTTTATTCCGTAGCTGGACTCTTCGTATATTATTGAGACGTAACTCCAGCCGAGTTTCTTTACAATCTCGACCATAGCCCGCACTTGGTGAAGATCAGAGGGGATAGTTCGTGTGAAGTATTCAAATCTTGCTTTGTTGGAGAGCTCAGGAGATGTGGAGAAAAACGACACCTAATGGAAAAAGATGAAAGTTTTATTTCATATTATACAACCACATACCAGTCAGCGTATTTCAACCTCATTTCTTAATAAAAAGTTTTTTTTTTTTTATGGGATAGGGGGCAGACGAGCAGACGGATCACCTGATGGTAAGTGATTACCGTCGCCCATGGACACCTGCAACACCAGAGGGGCTACAAGTGCGCTGTCGGCCTTGGAGGGAAGGGTTGAGGGGTAGAGGGAAGGGAATAGGGAGGGGTTAGGCCTCCGGTACCCTCACTCATACGACGAAACACAACGCAAGCGTTGCTTCACGTCGGTTTTCTGTGAGGCCGTGGTATCACTCCGGTCGAGCCGGCCCATTCATGCCGAAGCGTGGCTCTCACACGGTTAAGGAAACTAATTATGCATGACAAATAAAAGTAATCAAAAATCTGTAAAATTGTTGTGTGCAGTGATAGTTTATTCTCAATTAACGGTTATTTAGGTGACAAACAAAATGTTGAGTGGTAATCAAAGTATCTGTTAAAATAAATATACTTGGACAAAATGTTTTAGTCAACCAATTTGAAGATCAGCTAAGCTTTGATTTTGCTTCGCAATCTCTTTGTACTAAAATAATTCGTTAATATTATTCCCGCTTGACTTGATATTTTACTCGGAGCTTTCATAAGGCAGTTGAGCCTTGCTGTACTAAATTATCTCGTGAATTCAGGAGCAAAGTTTTGAAATGTCTCAAATTGGTGTATTAAAAGTTTAATTAAGAATCTTACTTTAAAAGTAAGAAATTGGGAATGTTCTCGTTATAAACTTTGGAATTTGTAAGGTACAATTTATTTAGATTATGATATTAACAATATATAACTTAATGTTAGTGTCATAATCTTTTAATAGAACTAAGCTGAGATTAATCTGGTAAAATAAAAGCATAAATGGAGCGGAGCGCCACACGTAATCTCTTTAAGAGCTATTTTTTCTAATAACGACTATTAACTTATTATTAAGAAAAAGTGGCGCGGGAACTGAGTGTGCGATGATGTAGAGATAAACATTCTTAATGAAAAATGCTTAAAAATCCACCTTGTCCTCTTCCAAATTATCCCTGGCGTTCTGGGATGGGATTCGAACCCATGACCTTTCGCTATCCGGGCGACTGCTCTAACCAATGACCTACTCAGGACTTAACAGCACTGACGAATCTTTCAAGCACTTGTTACTTTTCGCTACTACAGAACGTATTTTCATCAATATTCAGACAAACCACTCAAACAGCCGAAAGAAATATTTTTACAAACATTAAAACTTTTCGATAAAAATGAAATTTTGTTCTGTATATTATATTTGTTAAATTTTATATTAACAATACTATTCTGCCCTCCCGAGCCTAAAGCGCGGTAACAGCAAAATTTTCGTTTTTGATTTTTTTTTCATATCTTCTGAAAGCCCATATCAAATACTACAAGCCTAACTTATCCGTTTTTTTCTACAACCAGTAATAGTATATGTCGCATCAACTTAACGAAGATCGTTTGATTTAGTTTGTTTTATTTTAATTGCTAGTTACTCGATTACTTAATTACTCGATTGTAGAGAGAGCGTGACCATCGAAACTTTTAATTTTATTAGAATGGTAACACTGACTTTGACAGTTCGTTAACAAGAAGCAATTTGCCGCCATTTTGGCACACATTCTGTTTCCGATCGCCGTGGAGTAAAGACATCCGACGACATCACGCTCATCTCGTTATATTTTCGTATGAAAAGTGATAAAATGGAACTAATACACGTTGTTATACAAGCCTGCAGTGTTATCTTAAAGCTAGTCCTCCGATATGGACGATTTATTTGGGCTTCGTAATAGCCCCTTCTGACTACCCGCCGACATATATTATTTTTGTTTCTTTTAAAATCAAGCCGCCAAATTTGTAAATTTATCTGAAAATACACTACATTATAGCTTAATATGGAAGCTTTATTGGTCTTACATGTAGTTTATGGGCCATCGGAAAGCTCTGCAATTTATTTTTTTAGCTATTATATATACATTAGTCCCTGCAACTTTAAGTAGATTAACAATTGCTTATATATATATATATATATATTGCTATAAAATTGCTCTAATAATCGGTGATTACTAATAAATATAAATACAATGTCAATAAACTTATATAATGACATTTGCGGTGGGGATATTGACTGTACAGAGCTTACATCGACATTTTAACACTCACAACCCGTACTAGACTTTCTGCTTATTTTTTTTTTCGCAGTTCCTCTGTGTCGCACAAATTATGGACAGAACTCAATTATATTTCGATTACAGAGAACTTACAATAAGCGTTTAACAGTTGACATATTTGCCTATAATAGTAAAGTATTTTTTAAAAATCATATAACACAATTATTAGTAGATTGATTCTAGACAAAAATTAATGACACACACACACATACACACAATTCGCGTCTTGCTTTATTTGGTCGAGGTTATTTAATTTTAATTATGTTTAATGTAATTAAATAATGAAAATCCGTTATTGAAATGCCAATAAGATATGTTAAAATTGTTCTACTATTATTAAGATAAAAATTTGCTGTAGATTTTTTCAATGTAATAAATAAATAATAATGAAAGCTACATAGTACACGTGATTAACCTGCGGTATCTTGAAGAGCCGCAGCAGGTTGGCTACTTGCACGGAGGTGACGCTGGAGGCGGCGCCGACCACGCCGGATATCACCTTGCGCACGGCGGTCGCGTTGCACGCGTATTCCGCGTCGTCGATGTTGCTGATCGAACCTGCATTATATAGATAGATAAAAAGTATATTTCTCAGCAACACACAATTACATCACTTATTAAACATTGACACGATAAAAGAAACAAAGAAGAACAAGAAGCAGAAATATACCTGTATGCAGCAGCTGGGAAAAGGGTCTAGGCTCGGTGACTAAAATCGGTAACTAAGACTAAAATCATCTAATGCAATTTTGATACTAATGCAATAGTGATACATACTTAACGGAACATGAAGTATATAAAAAAATATAGTAACACAAATGGCGGTCTTATCCGCGTGTTCTGATTTCCGTATAGAAATTCCAGATCAGGAAACCTAATACGGAATACAAATGATAGTAATAATAAATCCTTTTATTTCTGTCACAATAAATACCAACAATAATTTAACATTAATTGATTGTAGCTATCGTGTGAGAGAGAAACCGCGAGTGGTAACCCTTAGAGAGTTTTGATATATCAGCCAGTTAGTTGAAATGTTTCATTAGGTTAAAACGACATTACCCAAATCAATTTGACATTCATTAAAAACTTGAAGGCGTCATTAAAACCGACCCCTGTTTACTATCAAATCTATAGTTGTTTATCGAATCTATAGACAAATATTCTTAAGCGCTTTAAAAGTTTGAATCAAAGGATGCAGTGACACGAACCATTCTACACAAAAATAATGATTAAAATTAAAAAGAATACCTATTAAAAGATAATTCTTATCTTGTTTTTGTGTTGAATTAACGCTTATTGAATGTCAGTAACTACCCTTAATTATAAAATAAAGAAAAAAGCTGTAAACAATTTAAAACGAACTTTAGGACGATACCAAATTTGATGTCGTTAGAACTGTCGTAAATGTGATGTCTTTTTTTAATTAGTCGGCTACGAAATTCAAATCATCGATGTCATTTGGCAGTAGAGAGTGAGAGTTTTTTATACTTTATATTTTAAAATGTATATTTATTTTTATAATATCTACAACAGAAAATGGCGCACGTGTGTGCGAGTGAATGTGTGCGGCCAGGCTTACTCTAATATTCGGTTATGAGATTGTACCCATATGTTGTAAATTTCTTGTATAATACTCAACAACTTGATAAATTGAAAACAGTTTCCTTTAATATATTAATCATTGTTTTTGTTACAACATTCAAGAAAACGATTGAAAAGCGTATGAATAGAAATTATGTTTTGATAACCTACAGTCTGTTGTGAAACTTTTTTAATTATTTAGTCTTCATTATATTATATATATTTCCCATAATAAAACGCAGATTAATAAATTAATAATGCCTCGAATTTCAATTATGTAAAAATTTATGATAAACAAAATATATTTTTCTTAGAAAAAGTCGGCAAAACAACGAAATTAATTAGGACATAGCAGATATTTTCTTAGATAATATTTTATTTTTTACATTCACGTTTTTAGATAGTCATTTAAATAATAAGTCGAAGTATTGATTTTGAATTAACGATACTTTCTAATCAAAATAACAAATAAGAATCTCGATGAAACAGTTTTTAGTGCGTTCAGTCTGCAATTGTGGACGTTAAGCTAGTTTTATAAAGTTAGTCATCAGATGAGTGACAATTTTTTTAAGGTAAACTAAAGGAATTAAAGCTACTTTTTGAAATAATAAGTGACTAAAACTATATTTTTAGTATCTATATATTTAGTTGTTTCTCAGTTAAATTTATTTCAAAAGTACGCGGCTCCGACTGGGACTTCAGAAAACGATGTTAATTGCTTAATAGCGGCCCCAATTCCTCTCTTTCATTTCTCTTCATTTCCCAGTTGACTAAATCCCTAATTGCTATGATAGTTTTAAACTTACGTTAAACCGGCTCATAGTAATTATTTGATTTATTACGTCGCTTAAAATGTTCTTCCTTATAAGTAAGTTCACATTGCCTACACAGTACATAATCTTTTACGATCAAATACTCGTAAAGAGTCTTATAATAGAAAAAAAAGGTTAAAAACTGAAACACTACTACAGCTAAATTACGCCCTAAAAAGTTTGAAAGAAGAAATTTGATGACCACACGACAGCGTAGTCGTATGTCACTGATTATAACAAAACAAACTGTTGTGGCATACGAATACGCTGTCTTTGGTCATCGTTATTATAATATAGCTATCATTATAAAATATTTATTTTTATTCATTTTTTTCGGGTGCATTTAAGCAAAATCGAAAGCAAAAGCTATTAATATATATGCATATATTTGAAATGTGCTAATTAAGCTCTTTCAATTGATACTCTGCACGGAATAATTGAATAATATATTTTTTTAGTTTCTTATTTTATGCTCTCTAGAGGGCGCTGTTTGATGTAACGCCATAGTTTTATCACGCGGACAACTAAGACGTTTCTAATGATACCTCATTTGTCTAGTTACGATGAATATTTTCGAAGTTATAAGAACATATGAACATTTTTACATACGTACCGGCCAAAATAATATCCCTCTTTTAGTTTAGCCGTAGTCGGGTAGAAAAAACAAGTGTTTTACTTGTTTTTTTTTTTTATTTAGGTTGAGTGTTAGTTGAGCGAACGAATAATTTCAGACCCAAAAGTTGTTTCTGGTGAATTTATCACTGTATAAGATGTAACATCTATTTCTACTAGGATTGTATCTGGAATACTATTCTATAATAAAATCAAAGTTGAACTCGATGTAGAGCACAGCGCTGACACAGTATAGAGGTTCAGTCAAAGAAAACCTACTTCAATAGGTGATAAAGATTTTTGTCTCATGCTGTGATAGTGTTGAGCTCGATATCAAATTCTAAGCTGATTTTATTGTAAAATATCATAGCTAATAACTAAGTAATCATAGCTAATAATTTAAGAACCTATGTATTTAATAAAAGAAATTTATGAAGTGCTTCATGGTCTAAGTGGACATCCATCAAAGGTATAAGTGGAATTTAATGAGCAGATGAAAGTCCAACAGAAGTTATTTTCTAGATCAGAGAACCTTTGTTAATTATGAGCATTCCAATGCCATCACTTAGATGTAATTGCTTTGAACAATTTTGAAAGTTCATCGCAATGTTACAACTCGAAGGGACAGCAATTCTCATCAAGTTAATTGGCAGCAAATGAAACGGCGACTTTTTAAAATTAAAAAAATACATCTACTAATGAATATGGAGGGAGTAAAAATTTATATTTCAACTAAAAGGCCTACTTATGCTCGAAAAATATTCCTTTTTTTTAGCGGTATTTGTATCTAATATTAGCTGTGAGCATATCAATTTGTGCCTTTAATTAATTTATAAACCTTAATGATGCTAAACTTAAAGTTGAAGCTCTATCACAGACTGATTTTGTAGTTGGAATTAATAGCGATGTTTTAACCTTTCAACTAAGTAACATGAAAATTAATTCTAGTTCTTAATTAATTATATTCGTTACTAAGAGTAGTTTACATAACATTCTAGCGTTTATGATTGAAAATTTTAATTTTTATTTGACTTCATATCTGAAAATTGGTAGATAATAATAAGTATCAGTCTACTGACCTTTAATAAAATCCACTGCCATCTCCAAGCCATAAGTGTCTTTATCACAGTCATCGAGTACATGCGCACCAATCGTCACTCCAGGGATGAGGTTTAGGTCGTTATTAACAATGTCTAAAGTATAAAGCATCGTCTCCAACGCTTGAACACCCCCCTGTGGCATCACTGGTCCACAAGTCATGCTATCCGACCTCTCGTGTACCATCATCAGACCTCCGAGTACCAAGTCTCCTTCGATCACAGCTTCCCTTTTTATAGGCCAGTGTGGATGATGTTTCTTGTCTTTCAATTCACCAACCTGATCATTAGACATGTTCACCCAATCGTTTTTTACATTTCTATACGAAACAAAATCGGTATTGATCATATCTTTGTCAATAACCATTTGTTTTAAAGGGTCAAAGAAGGTATCTTCGAAAGGTAGGTCAGACATGATCTGAGCATGTTTGTGCTTGTGCCTGTGGTGGTGTCTTATATTCGGGTGTTGTTTCTCGTGGTCATAGCCTCCTGGTCTCATTTCCGTGAGCTGGATGAGGATGAGCAGCATCGCCGTGAGCAACCAGCCGGGCATAGTGTTGGATGTTTCATACCATCTTCGGTGAACGCCCCGCTCTTGATAACGAACGGGCCGTGTTCATTTTAATCTGGAACAATTTTGAAGAGTTTCACTAACATTGGAGACTGATAGGATAAAATGATAAAAATGTTCCTACTGCTAGAGCACTGGGCCTTATTACCTAAAGATGGAATCGAATAGGGATAATGAGTCATGATATTTCTGTTACTTCAACTGATAGAGCCCTCGCTCGTTTAGCTAATTGTAATGACCTTGGTTTGAAGGTTTGTATCATGATTCTTTGTTTATAAATATGTGTTTCTTAAGAGATCAATATCAATATAATATTATAAAGGATTTTATCAAAACTAATAACTTCTTTGCTTGGTATAATCATATTTGCTCACACATGATTTGATCGTTATGATATATCAATTATGATATCGAGTTTTCTAGATCGAATTCAAAACTAACCTTATAAATAACTAATTTTTTTTTTCCAACAAATCTAGTTCCATAATTGTTTAAAAATAAGATACTCTTTATTCAAAACTAATTTTGATATTCACGATGTGCAAACGCGTATGTAAAATTTGTAACGATTCATATAAAACACTGTTTATTATACCTATGTAGGTACACATTCTTAACACATTCTTTCTAAGAGATAACGTAACACATTCTTACAAAGAGATAAGTTTATCTCATTTTACAATGCAGCGGTGTTCTAAACACGAAAATTGTATTTGATTTCGCTGGCATCGACAAAAGAGATTCCATTCGTTTTGTGACAAACAACTTTGCTGGATTTCAAAACGAAATGTTAGAGTATACTGAGCAGACAGCTCAGAAACTTGAGGCAGATACTGTAGCTGTTGTGTGAAAGAACACGATATGTTTAAACTTTCTTCCGCTTAGAAATGGTAATTCAAAAGCGAGAACTGATATATTTTTTTTATGTAAGACTAGCTTTACGCCAGCGGCTTCGCCCGCGTTTTGAATCACCCTATCTATGAAAAAAAAAACCGCATCAAAATCAGTTGCGTAGTTTTAAAGATTTAAGCATACATATAAATATGATATAGGGATGGGGAAGCGACTTTGTTTTATACTATCTAGTGATGTGACGTAGAGGTATGGGCGGCGTGTACAGGTACAGTATATTTCAGCAGCAACAGGATTTGTCCCTACTAATAATAATAATTACTAATCAAATATTTTCATATTACTCTGCCTAAAGGTAATGGAATGGATATGTATAGTGCCCTGTCAATTTGATTATTTGAATTATTATTATAATATTGTTGCCTCATTTTGAGTGCCATAATGACCGGACATTATGTATAATGCGCAATTCGTCACTGATATCATTCATAGCTCGGTGGCGTAGTGGATAAGCGCCGCGGCCCGCGATCGTTGTCGTTAAGCAACTTTCGCAAGGGTCGGTCACGGGATGGTGACCAAAAATTATTATCTCGAGCTACTCCGTGCTTCGGAAGGCACGTTAAGCCGTTGGTCTTGGCTGCATTTGCAGTCGTTAATACTCTCCAATCCGCATTTGGCCAGCGTGGAGGGTCATGGCGTAAAAAGGCTGATGATGATGATGATAATGATCATTCATCACTTATGTCCATAATACATATATCACATACACTGTGCTAATGCTATCATATTGCATCGTATCGCTACACAGCGACCTTCGTTTAGCGTGATAAACAAGAGAAATATTTTGTGAAAACCAAATATTATTTTTATCATATCGAGAGTGAGATATCGTATGGGCACACTCGAGAAAGGTGATATGTCTGGGTGTAGACAGTACGTTTACCATGGCGAATTCTAAAAAGAAAAAAACAATTCCAGTAGTTTGGAATGTCATTAAGTACTACTGAAAAACTGCTCCATTGAAATAGTTTTAAAATCAATACCTAACATATCATAAAAGCAGAATAGAAGGATCAACATTCAGGACCCATTGCTTTTTGACCAATCAACGAAGCCCCGTATAATTTGAATGAAACTTTTTAGTTCTCATTGACTTTTCGTTATTAGAACTATAAGTCGGTAAATTTCGCAACCTTGTTATTTTATTGAGGGAGTTTATATCGTGAGGATTATTAAGTAACTTGATTAGTCCCTCTAGAGACCTCACTCGGATCAAGGCTACATATGCTTGGCCTTTAGCATAAATTCGCGAACTTAAGTCAACCACAGCTCGGTCCAAAGCAGTTCTTAGCACTAAAAAGCTTAATAATTATACGGCTCACTATATCTAAAAACTATCTTCGCCCACTTCTAATATTTTTGAAAGACCTATTCAACAATATGGAGAAATCTAAAGAATAAAAAATCATCCCCACTTCACATATAGAGGAGGTAACCTAAAAAGAATTTTGATTACTGTTATGTTGTGTGATAAGTGTCACTCGTAAGGCTAAAACAAATCGATTGACGTATAAATCATCACAAATTGGCCAAGCCGTTTGGTCTCTACAATGCCATATAGGAACTAACATACATACATAGAATCATTAACACATTACCCTCCTTAGCGTTGCGCAGTCAGGTAAAAAGAAACAGTTTGTAAAAAACATTCATTCATTATAATTTTGATTTTGATAATTCATTTAGTCAATAAATGAATTATTGAGAGCACACGTTATCAGAGAAGAAACACAGAAAATATATATATAAGGACTCACATACATAAACAAACATAAACTACTTTTTTGAAATAAGATTAAGATTAACAAAACTGGATAATGTAGTATATAAATAAAAATGTAATGATTGTATTAGTTAAGAAAACATAAGAAACAAATGTAACTAAGAATATGGAAATTAGAGTAAGAAAAGTAATATCAATAAAGAAAAGAGTTGTGTACTTCATTAAATGAAGAATAGAAAATAAGCAGAATCAGTATAGTTATACATGTGGCGAACCCGGCCACTCGAAGTGTGAAAAGGATAGGAATGAAAGAAAGAAAAGGAATGAAGCATGAAAGGAAAAGTAAAAACGCGAGAACTGACATGAATGAGAAGATAGAAATTAAAAAGGCCTGCTGATAATAGTGGGGTGCAGAGTAGGGCTAGGTCACAAATGTAAGGCCGGGCATTAAAAAAAACAGAAACTATTTACTTGAGACGGAAACTTATTTCTAAATGTCCATGACATAATGGCGTTTTAAAGGTAGTCGATGTGTGTTTACTAAAATGTCTGACTTCTTTTACACTTATTAAAATATTCTACCTCTTTATCATGCTAGTGAGTCAAAGTCAAAGTCAAAATAATCTTTATTCAAATAGACTTCTTAAAAGTACTTTTGAATCGTCCAACATTTTTTCCCTACCACTCGTTCAGGACGTTTTTTTCGCTGATAAGAAGTACGAGCAAGAAACTCACCAGCTCTAATATGAGTAATGACATTTACAAAAACCATGTCATTACCAGATCAATACATTATAAACAGAGATAGAAAAAAAAAAACTATGGTCTTATAATAATAACATAATCATTTAATAATAATGGAAACAAGATAATGAGTTTAGAAGTAATCACCTATCCAGTAGCTGGATCATTTCAAGTCCAAGCGTTCTTATCTGTTACATAATCGGATACCTTATAATAAGCTTTTTTAATAAGTATTTTTTTAATAGTAGATTTAAACTGCATGATATCTAATTGTTGTATGTCTTCAGTTATATGCTACTAGCTTTTCGCCTGCGGCTTCGCCCGCGTGGTCTTGTATTATACATAAAAACCTTCCTTTTCAATCACCCTATCTATGTAAAAATATAGCATCAAAATCCGTTGCGTAGTTTTAAAGATTTAAGCACAAATAGGGATATAGGAACAGAAAAAGCGACTCAGTTTTATACTATGTAGTGATTCATCGTCCGTTTTTGTATCTACTATAAATGTCAGCGAAAAATGCAATTGAAATATTACTGACGCCTTAATAAAAAAATCAAGTGCTAAGCGAAAGCGAACCTTATTACATCACAACAATAATCCCCAGGGCAACCCGCTGAACATTACCACGAGGTCTGTTTCCCAACCCGAGTGCTTAATTAATGTTCCCACGAATTTAATGTTAGTTTGCATTTTTTTTTATTTATTTCGTCACAGCTGCGGAAGTCATGGTCGCATTTCTCGACGCGCTCGCAAAAATGTTTCCTACGTCAGAATTCATTTCGTAAGTGTAAACGTACAATTATTAAAGTGTTATGGTAATAACTTAAACCAGCACAGTTTTACACTTGCAAATTTCTCTGCGTTTAATTTGAGAATTTATAACGTGCTACTGTAATTAGCTATTCCAGCTTGGACGTTGGATGATTTGTTAATTATGGTGAAATCTGCAAATGTAATCTTGCATTAAACTATTTATTTGTTTTTATTATAAATTGGCTTCTGCCCGCTTCTTCTAAGTTATATAGTTTGGACAGCTAAAAATGCTCAAGTTATTGTATCTTTTCAAGTATCTATTTTAAATATATATATTATGGTTTTATCTTTGATAATGACGAACTGCATGAAATAAATAAGTTTTTTTTTACCAATTTGCGGTAAGAATTTGCGATAAGGACGACACCAGAAATATATTAAAATAGTGTGCTTTTTGCAATATGCAAAACGTATTTTTCTTATCTGATAATTTTATAGCAATTCTATAGTTTGCTGTCTTTTTCTTTTTCACATTGCCTATTTTTAAAAATGATATTTTTATACGCACAATATAATAGATACACACTAATCTGTATTTATATACTCGCATATTATTCACAAACAATTTGGTTTTGACTCGTTTTTAGAATAACGTATGTACATTTAACGGTAAACAAGTTTCCCCTCAACAATACCAATTGGTAGTTTTCCTATTTTTATATAATAAGAAACAGAAAAATATACAGCCACTCGCTCCCCTGAAGCTCTCTAACAACCTATAGTTAGATTAGCCGAAGGAACTAAGTTACAGTTGTCAAACACAATTACTGCCCCCTACACAGGCTGT